TGTTTTACACTGCAATATGTTCAACAACACGGCATCTGCATATCACCTGGGCGACTCCAACATGGAATCCATGGGGGGCCACCTGCAAGGAAAGCATTCCAGGGGCACGCAGGGGAACCCGGGGGGTCCGGTTTCCGGGGAAGAAAAAAAGAAGTCCTTGGCGAGGGGTTCGGGCACGGGGGTTGCCCCTGCCTAAAGTTTCGGAAGAGAAGAGTCGTCTCAGCCGCGGGTGTGCTGGCGCGCGGGGTCCCACACACCCCCCAGCGCAACCAGAGGAAGAAAAGTGCGAGAGCCCAGATTGTAAGTGTAATGCAGTATCACTCTGGAAATACTTGTGATCGGGACTTGTACTAGTATAACATGCACTCTACTGTGTGTCCTATTTCCGAAGTCGACATTCTATACTCTCCTTATTCCTTAAGCGCTGCCCCCGTACTCCCACGTCGCGATCCTATAATGTTTCCTCACTCCTAAGACACAAACCTAGACTGTTTCCTCAAATGCTTCAATCGCAATTCGACAAGACTAGTTGTGCTGCAGGACCAGCTGCGCTCTGGGAGCAGCTGCGCGCTAACACATGGTGGTACCAGTTGTACTCAAGTACTGGGTGAACTCTAGCCAGAGGGGTTCAGGGTTCTGGTGGCAACGCGCCCGCGGAAGAAGGAACAACATCCATGCGCCGCCAGGGGTCCTGGGTCTATCAGGTCGCCGCGAACATGGACCCCCCGCGGAAAGAAGAAAAGAAATCAAGCCGAGGGGGTGGGGATTCACGCATGAGTCGCGGGGGCGACATCTACATGTATGTGGACGCGCTAGTGCAAGTGTGAAGGATCTGCTGTCAAACAGCCTGGCGCAAAATCCAAATCGATGTTGACACGCTCATGCACACGCAGCCAAGGATGCATACAGTAGGCCGTCGTACATGGTCTCTCCATTCCATGCGCTACGCAGCTGATGCGAGCCTTCCTTCGAAGTCCATTAGGCTTGCTGGCTGGGAAGCCCTGATTTTATCAGCTGGGGCAGAGCTCTTCCGAGATGCGGCTCCTGCTCCCATGCCCGACTCCTGCAACAATATCCCACACAGTTCCTGTGCACCGATGCGTGGCAGATGCCGCGCAGATCATGTCAAGACTCTGGCGCCACGCTCCCATGTCGGCGGCTCGCCCTGGGGCGAAGGCAGAGGGGGCCGGGCTTCTCAGAGGACGGCGAGCCTTCTCAGATGCCCTGCAGCCAACCCGCATAGTAGGGATGGGCAACCTTCCCAAAGGATACCCTTGCGTCCTTCCCTCCTCGGTCCATCCTTGGCCACTTTTGTTGGCCGCGCCCCGCTCGAAAAGCTTCGAGATGGCCTTCCCAGGCCCTTGTGCATCCTCACCGTGCGGCTTCATTATGCTCGCTGACTGTTTCGCTTGCTGATAAGCCCTCTGTGGATTCGGAGGAGGTTTAGAAGGTTTCTCGGGAGGCGGGTAGGCTTCTGAGAATCTCTGCCGCCTTCTGAGAAGGCGCACCCCGTTCTCTTCCCCTCCAGCCGCGCCGCCGACTACAGCACCTCTTTCCCTAACAGCGCTTCGCTAGAGAGCTCTGATGCAGCCAACCCGTATGATATATAAGGGCGCGCGATAAAGGATGCAAGGGCCTTGTAATGCCACGTCGACGCTCTGCGAGCGGGGCGCGGCCAGCGAGAGCGGGCAAGGATGGGCCCGAGGGGGAAAGATGCAAAGAAAACCTTGGAAAGGCGCTCATCCTTACTACGCGGGTTGACTGTAATGGTGCTCGAGAAAGCCCACCGAGCTGGCCCCAGACACCGGCGCCCCGACCCCAGCCCTGGCCGTGGCCGTGGCCATGGCCCCAGCCGTGGCCGTGGCCCTCCCAGCCGTGGCCCGGGGCCGGGAGGGGCCTCCTCCTCCTCCTCCTCCTCTCCTCCTCCTCCTCTGCCTCCCTCTGCCTCTCTCCTGGTCGCCCCCCCCCCCCCCTGCGTGCTGGCCTCCTCCTCCTCCTCCTTCTCCTCCTCCTTCTCCTCCTTTTCCTCCTCCTCCTCCTCCTCCTTCTCCCCCGCTCCTTGCCCTCCTCCCCCTCACCCTGCTTCTCCTTCTGCTCTTTCCCCCCCCCTGGCGTCCTGGCGGGAGGCCGTTCCCCTGCGTCATGACCTGCGGCTGGATGTACATGCCGCCGTAGTAGAAGATGTTTAGCACGAACGCGGCGAAGCACAGGACCCACGAAGAAGGACGAGGAGGGAGGGAGGGGTGGAACGACAGGAGGGAGGCTGGAAGATGGTGAGGAGGACAACGAGGGCGATGATGTAAGAAGGATGAGGAGGAACACCAGGAAGAGGATGGACATGTAGACTGAACGGGGGCGGAAGAGAAGGACGATGGAGGGGCGGAGGAGGGAGGAAGGAGGAGGAAGAGGAGACGGCAAAGAAGAGGACCCATGTCGTGGATCCATACTGTGGCCCGAACACCACGCCCAAAGTGTCGACGATGTTCGGATTGTCTCTCGCCTGTCGCTTCGTTTTCTGTCTCTGGGGAGGAGAATGTGCTTCGACCTGCTTTGGCCGACCCCATCGCGAACACGTGTGGGCTCTGCCTCCCTCTCTCTATCTCTCATGTTCTCCCCACATACTTCCCTCTCTCTGTCCATCTTCCTCTCCCTCATGATTGTCCGATCCCTTCCTTTGTGCATCCGCCACCGTGCCCCCTGGCACGTTGAGGGGTGGTAGACTGCCACGTGTTGCCTGGTAGGGCTTTTGTACTCTTCTACGGGACCCCCCCTCTCGACGCAGACCTGCCTGCGCACCGCACTCTCCTTCTCGAGTCCACGATCCCCTGAAAAAAAAATATGGGTCCGTGCTCCCGAGGCTACGATCTGTTGTGAAAGAACCATGGATCCGCGTCCCAAGCAGGCCACCAAGGCCGCCAAGATGGCTCAAGACGCGTCGATGGCGGCCCAAGATGGCCTCGCAGCGGTCCGAGATGGTATCAAGACGGCCCAAGATGCCCCATTCTCGCCTTGTCGGGTTTCCGTCAGCTCGAGACTGCCCAACAAGCCTCCAAGATGGTTCCTAGACGGCCCCCAGGGCCCCCAAGAGGGTCCCAAGATGGCCCAAAAGGACATCGCGATGGCCCAAGAGGCATCCGATACGCCCAAGAGGGTCTCTGGGACCGAATACGGCCGTGGAAGGCCCTGCGACGGACCCAAGATTACCCCACAACCGCCACCAAGCACTCCCCATACAGGGCCCCTAAGACGGCCCAAAAGAGCCCTACGGCGGCCTCAAAGGGCCCCACGACTGTCCAAGAAGGCCCCAAGGCGGACCCAAGGTCCAATAAGGCCCCAAGGCGGACCCACGGGCCAACGGACCCCCAAGACTGCCCCAAAGGAGGCCCAAACAGCCCCAAGACGGCCCAAATGAGCTCCATGAGAGCTCCTCAAGGAGTGAAAACGAAAGGCGTCACATGTGACGGCCTCGCTCTTCCTCCTCCTCCTCCTCCTCCTCCTCCTCCTCCTGCTGCTCCTCCTCCTCTTCCTCCCCCCCCCCACCACCACCACCACCATCACCGTCATCATCATCATCATCATCATCATCATCATCATCATCATCATCATCATCATCATCATCATCATCATCATCATCATCATCATCATCATCACATAATCATCATCATCATCATCATCCACCATCATCATCATCAGCATCAGCATCAGCATCAGCATCAGCATCATCATCATCATCATCATCATCATCATCATCATCATCATCACCATCACCATCACCATCACCATCATCAGCACAATCATCATCATCAACATCATCATCAGCAGCAGCAGCAGCATCAGCAGTAGCATCAGCAGCAGCAGCAGCATCATGTCGTCGTCGTCATCATCATCATCAGCCTCATCATCCTGATCATCCTCATCACGGCTGTCGCAAGTCTGGGAACACGCACGAGGTGTCACACTTGACGGCCTCTAGCGCCTCTTCAATTGCCAACCAGAATGCTGGGCTGGCACTGTGGAGGGACTTGCCGCAGGCAGCTGCACATATCATCAGTTTGCGCAATACTGTATTCTATGAGTGAACGCATGTATATATACGAAGATCTGTATGTATGAGCCTGTGTGCATGCATGCGGCTACACTCTCTCTCAACCTCTCTCCCACTCCTTTCAATGGCCGTCGCCCCCCCTCCCTTTCTCCGTATACATCCCCTCGCTCGCTCGCTCGCTCTCTCTCTCTCTCTTTCTGTCCTTCTCTGTCTTTGCTTGATTATGTGTTTTCGTTGTTTTGCTCTCTCTCTCTCTCTCTCCCTCTGATCGCAAGTTCTTCCGTTCGAACTTTTCAATACTGTTGCCCCTCGCCTTTAGCGGGGCCTCCACTATCTCCATGTCGATGCGCGCGTCGGGCCTGCCGTTCAAGCGCCGGAACTGGTCGAAAACCTGCGGCGCGGAAAGGCCCCCCTCCCCTGCTGAGACTCGGGGGACGACGGCGACGACGACGACGACGACGACGACGACGACGACGACGACGATGATGATGATGATGATGATGATGATGATGATGATGATGATGATGATGATGATGATGATGATGGTAATGCTGATAATGATGCTGATGCTGCTGATGATGGTGCTATTGATGATGAGGAGGTGAAGAGCAAGGCGAGTGAAGAGCAAAGCAAGGCACGGCACTGGGAGGCAAGGCCAACCTGAACAGCTGGATGCCTCTGGGCTAGATTTGTGGACGGGCCTCCTCCTCTACCCCTCCTCCTCCCCCACTCATCCCCCTGCCAGGTTCTGCCTATCGATCCTCGAAGATCGACGATTGGGAGAGTCCTGCACGTTCTCTGCAGACTGCTCGGCGTTTCTGGCCCTCTCTGACAAACAGAAGAAAAAACACTCACAATAAAAAACACTCCGACAAGCGAAGCCGTTTATGAAACGTACCCCAGGAAGGAATCGAACAGGGCAGCGCAACGCAAATTATGGGGGGTCGGGGAGTTT